GTCCCTGGAAATGACATACACATGATATGTCTATGCGCGAGCCGAAGCAGGTCCCGATCCCTCCCCAGAGGTAGCTTTTCGCCCCGGGTCCAAACTTGATGATCCCGTGGGTTCGTAACGACAGGGCCCAGGCGCAACAATCTAGGAACAACTAAGCTTGAAATGAACTTATGGTCGGAGATCTGGGTTCGCACCCCCACGCCGCACACTTCAGGGCCCAGTGAGCAGGGACTTTCATGAATCAACACATTGACACAATCAAGAAAACTGCAGCCAAGGGCAGAGACATTATCTATTATTCGTCCTCTCCAGCTGGACTGTTCAAAGTGTTGGTTTGCAGTGTCCTGGTGCCGATCTTGATCATCGTCCATCTAAGCTATCGTCGTTTCGTGGATCACCCTCACGACGTTGGCGACGGCTGGTATGGGCCATGTCCACGATCGGCGAAGAGAAGATCCCGCGACGTCCTGATCATGGCCATCGTGACTCGTCCCTCGACTGAGAGCGCTGCGGAACGCTCATAGAAAAGCCAGGGGCCTGAACAAAGCCCATAGAACATCTGCCAAGAGGGTGGCACGAAGGCAACTCGCTTAGGATTGGTTCCCGGACCCCTCCTGGGGCTTCGGGGCCCCTGAATAAGAGCCAGGACAAGCGACACCACCACCACCAGGGACCACCAGCGAGAGGAACCAGGGGGCATCCCCCTGGCGGCGTGGTCCCCTCCTCACCCCCTGCCCCCCAGCTCCGGGGTCGTGGAGGCATCGTGGACCTCCTGGCTGGAGGTGGCCCCCCTGGTGGTGGTGGTGTCGCTTCTCCTCCCCCTGGCTGAACACTGGGACCAACACAGCTCTCCGGCCCAGACCGCGGCGGGCGAGCGCGGTCGTCCTCGCGCCCCTCTGCAAGTGACCCGTCTGTCCGGCGCCCCGCCCTCACGGACGCTGTCCCGGCGACCTGCCACACGTGAAGGCGGGACAGCAGGGCGCAATGAAACAGTCGAGGGGGCCCCAAACGGTGTGGTGACCACACCATAGCTGCCCCGATATGCGCAGCATGCAAGCTGAGGCGTCTTGACACGGAGCTCAACACTGATGGGCCGATTTCTCACCACCACTGCCATGGGTAAGATGGGGCAGAAGGGAGGATGGGGAGGTCCTCCTCCTCCGCCTCCTCTTCCGCCTCCCTCTCCTACCCATGGTAGGGGTGATGGAAAATCCGCTCGTCAAACACGCAGGTTCAGACGAAGTCTGGCGCGATACATTCGGCACAACGCAAGCCAGCCCGCACAATTCTGAACAAATGCGGAGCGTACTTAACCTGGACGCGTTAGTACGGTACGGCTGCGTTTTTGCACGGGGGTATCAGGCAGCTGCTGACCACACCGCGTGGCGAGCCAGTGGGGAGTCGGGGTCACCGCACGCGTTTGGGACCCGGGCCGTTCTCCGAGCACGTCTCGAGCGACCTGGACCTCCGAGGTCCCAAACCCGTGTGGTGACGGACCGCGCGGAGAGGTCTCTTGAGATTTCGCGGTCACCGCGCGGTTCCGTCACCACACGGGTTTGGGAGCCCCGAACCAAGGGCAGCGGCAGCACCATCATGTGCGTGCTCGTTCCACTGACTTCGAGCCTACTGTCACCTCTCGGGGGTGAATCTTCCATTTCCGCTGACTTCCGCCAACGAAGCTGTCCCCGTTTTCCTTCTGCCGCCTTCCCGCGGCGCTGCGCTGGCATACCCCGAAGGCGAGATGTGCCGAACGCGACGCCCTTTCTGGAACGCGTCACGTGGAGACTCTGAGGAGGAACTCTTTTTGCAAAGCGCGAAGAGTACCATTACGCTTGTAGAGCTGCCTGAGTATACCATCAGAGCAGCCGGGTGACCTCTCCCACCAGATGCACGGTGCACATGAAGGCAATGGATGCAGGCGTCAGTATCGAACGCTGGGGAATAGCTGAAAAAGCAAGCGAGTTGATGCGCGGCTAGAGTCATCGAGCTGGGCTGGCGGCCCGGACTCCGCGCTGGGCGCCTCATTGTAAGAAATATGAGCGCCGAAGAAGCGATCATAAAATCGCGTGTGCGCACCCCAACACAAGCCAGCGATCCATGCCTGCAGGCCGCCCAAGTGGGGCCGTGGGTCACACCGCATCGCCGATTCATCGACGGTGCATGGGCATGGAGAAAATCTTGTTCCAACTGGCACCGCACCGCCGATGCATGGGCGGTGCGGTATGATCCTCCGACCCGATCTACTCCAACCCAACTGGGCGGCCTGGAGTAACCCCAGGCTCTGCTGGGCAGACCCGCACCTGACGCCAATACCTCCTCCCTCCCCTCCCTGCGGGCAGCACGGCCGCCACCGGTGCAGAACGAGAGCGCTCGGCGTGGCCGTCAGGGCCCTCTTGAGGGGCAACCGTAGGAGGGGACGTGCTCAGGGGGGAAGCATCGACCTGGAATCGGCGATACACCGCCGACAGATCGGCGATGGAGCTCCGTTGACGAATCTTCATGTTCCCGCGCGGGGCAGGCTCTCCGACCCCTATCAACGATGAATGGGCGGTTTGGGGCCGATGCGCCCCCTCCGAGCCGACCCCCCCCAACGCTGCCCCTGAACGGGCCGCGAGACCAGGCATCGACCGCGGCAGGTCAAACCCAGGCGCCCGACGATGCGTCTTTTGTCAGTGCGCGGCCCCAAGGAGCTTCCGGCCCCTTCCCCAGGCCAGCATCTCATCCTGGACCCATCCTCAGATGCCCTCTCCCCCGGGGCCCAATAGCAGGACCGAGAGGCCGAACTCGAGGAGCAGCGGCGGGATCGACACCAGATCGCCTCGTCGGAGCTCTGGGAGCAGCTCGGCAGCGAGCGAGGGGGGTAGGTGAGAAGGACAAGGCCCTCTCAGAAGGCGGCGGGGCTTCTCGGAAGCCCTCTGGCCTTCTGCTCTGAAGGCCCAGGGACTCCCGAGCCTCCTGAGCAGGCCCGCCCCTTCGCACCTCCCCCGGCCGGCCTGGCCGCCAAACCGCGGCGGCGGCTCGGCACGTCGACCCGACGCCAGGGTCGCCCGCAGGCGGGCGCCGCCTCACTGGGAGGCCTGCGCGCCGTGCGCGGCGGCCGCGCGCCGCGCGAGCTCCTTCGCGCTGGACGCGCCGGTGTCCGATACTCGGGTCGGGCGAAAGGGGGGGATAGCAAAGGGGGGGTTTGAGAATCAGCTCACGTAGCTGATTTTCCCGGCGCCTCCCGGCGCCGGAGGCGGCCATGTATCGAGGAATGGGCCCCTCGGTGAGGCCGAAACCAGCTGCATGCAGCAATTTCGTAACCCCCCCTTTCCCAATCCCCCCTTTCGCCCGACCCGAGATACGAAGCCCGCGAAGTGGCCGCCCTCGATCTGCAGCAGCTCGTGGGGCGCGCCCTCCTCCACCACCTTCTTGCGGGCTGGCTGCCGCAGCGGTCCCAGGAGGAGGAGGAGGAGGAGGAGGAGGAGGAGGAGGAGGAGGAGGAGGAGGAGGAGGAGGAGGGAGGAGGGGGAGGAGGGAGGAGGCTCGTGGGGCGCGCCCTCCTCCACCACCTTCTTGCGGGCTATGGCTGTCGGCGGCGCTCCCGGGGGGGGGGGGGAAGCGAGATGGGGTCGGGCCTCGGAGCCCAGGCATGCCGCAGCGGTCCCGGGAGGAGGAGGAGGAGGAGGAGGAGGAGGAGGAGGAGGAGGAGGAGGAGGAGGAGGGAGGAGGAGGAGGAGGAGGAGGAGGAGGAGGAGGAGGAGGAGGGAGGAGGAGGAGGAGGAGGAGGAGGAGGAGGAGGAGGCGGCGAGCCCGGGGGCCTTCCCAGAAGGCTCGGAGGCTTCCCAGCCTTCCGGGAAGTGTTTGAAGCCCTCCGCGATGGCACAGGGCACTGCCCAGAAGGCCAGAGGGCTTCTGAGAAGCCCCGCCGCTTTCTGAGAAAGCCTTCTCCTTCTCGGCTTCTCCGCTCGCTCGCCGCCGAGGTTGGAGAGAAGCCCACGGAGGCTTCTGGTCGTCCCCATGGCGCGCAATAGCGCGCAACGCGGACGTGATGCCTCTACCTCATGTGGCGCCATCGGGCGCCATTTCGGCGCCTTTCGGCGCTATTCGAACATTACTCGGCGATACTGGGCACTGCTGCGCGCTGTTGGGCGCTGCCGCTAGTTTGCACTCAGTCACAGACGAGCGGAATCTCCCATGACTCTCTGTCTAAGGGTGGGCCAAGGGAACGTTCGGGGACAGCAGGCGACCACAACCACATCGAAGACGTAGTCTGGGGGATATTCTGGGCATGCCAGCAATCGTCAGCACACCAAACCAAGCTTAGTACACCCTGCGAAATGCTTTAGAAATCATGGGTTAAGAAATTCATAGTCTCAGAATTTGAATCAAAGCCCAGAATGTCTATTCAAATCTTGGGATTTACATTGAAACATTAAGAATAATCGAGACTCTGGCCGAAAACTTGGGTTTTCTTAAGCATCGCCTAAGGTGTACTGGTTGTGGTCGATGCGGGCGCCCCAGTCGGCCAAATCGGCCACAACAACCAAAGTGCTTATGTCGAGGTCGGTGGACTCTCCCCCGAGAGGCCGCCCAGCCAAATCCACCCAGTTGTGGTTGCGGTTCTCTGTTGTTGAAGGGGCCCCAGGACACACAAATAAATACACACAAATAAAAATATTCACCATATTTTCCTATATTTTCTGGGTTTTTGTCTTCCCGCCCAATTCCCATATTTTCCCATATCTTCCTGGGGATCGACGATTAATTGTGTCTGTGTGCTTTTTCCCCTCCTGATTCTCTGTTGTGGCCGGAGAGCGGCGCCGGGGAACGGGTGCGGGGAGGGGGCCCAACTCCGACCCGAGAAATCCGTGTGGACGTCCGAGAGCTTCTGCTTAAAACGAAGCCAGGGCGATGACACATCTGGACGAGGACAGAGCGAGGATCTCCGAGATCCGGCGGTTCTGGAAGATGTATCGGGCGCCGCGGCCTTCTCAACGCGTTTCGGCACTGGAACGGACTTATCCTTGTCCTAGCCCCGCCCGACTTCTCATTCGGTTTTCTTTGCGCCCCAGTGCCTTTCCGTGCGACAGGACGACGACCTTGTCGTAATCGATCACGGTGTGCAAGCGGTGGGCCACCGTTACGATGGAGCAGTCCGACGGCAACACGCCTGGGCTACGGATCGTCTCTTGAACCATCTTGTCCGTCTCGATGTCCACCGACGCCGTTGCCTCGTCCAAGAACAACAGCTTCGGCCGCTTCAGGAGCACCCGCGCCAGGCAAAGCAGCTGGCAAGTGCCGGCAGAGAGGTTGCTACCCTTCTCTTGAACCTCGTGGTCCAAGCCCAGCCACCAGCCCTTCGCTACGTTCTCGAGCTTGGCCTGTTTGATGACCTCCCAGAGCTCCTGTGGGGGAACCACAAAGGACCGATGCTGCTACTCCCAAAATCTTCTGCACGGTGCGCTCTGACCAAAATTTGGACGCGGATCCAGCCGTGACGACGAGTGTCCTTCAGGATGCCCATGAAGTCGAACACAGAATAGAGGTTGCGGGGGGAGTAATACCGGGGTCTGTTCCTCCTCTGATCCTCGTCGCTGTGCTCGTTCCTCATGTCCAGGTTGGACCGCACGGTGCCAGTGAATAACCAGCTGTCCTGCGGCATCACACCCAGTCGCTGTCTGAAGGTCTTGGGCAACGTCGCCAAGTTCATGTTGTTGATGTACACGGCGCCCCCAGCAATGTCAACCGATGAGGAGGGTGGGAGGTAAGAAGAGGCGGGGGGAATGTAACCAGGAGGAGGAAGAGGAGTACATCCATCTCGTATAATAAGGACGCACGGTAAGGATGCAAGGGCTTTGCAGGAACATTTCGACACTCTGCGAGCGGGGCGCGGCCAGCGAAAGCGGTCAAGGACGGGCCGATTGGGAAGCATGCCGGGGCAACCTTCGAAAACTGGCCATCCTAACTCTGCGGCCTGCCTGTATGTGGCAGGGTTGGCTGCCAGAGGAATCGAAGCATCGCCACAGGAACTCAGATTCGGAGCACGAGCCACTGCGCCGATGGCCCGAGGCCCTGGGGAGACACCCCCAGGGAGGAACCATCCAAGTGTGGAGAACCCCACGCATGAAGAGCACGAGGGGTACGGTCGGACCTAGGACAACAAAACCTCCTTCATGAACGGGAGACCCTCCGCCAGGGCCGGCCAAAACACACAGAAAGTCAAAAAGGACCCCCCCCCAGGATGCACGAGAACATCCGACAACCACGAAGAACATTAGGGTACCCTCCCCGAACCGACCTCGACCTGGCCATCCAAAGGTGGAGAACCCAAAACACGAAGAGCATGAGGGTATCCCTCCAAGGCTAGCGTCGCTCTTACATCTCGTGCCAGCTGCACGGCGGGGGAAGAAAGTGGAGAGGTGGTGGAGCGGACCTCCGAAATCATGCTTTGCTCATGACGCGGCCCTGGACCTTTCCGTCTCTAGTGGCCCCTGGGCCCGACAGCGGCTCCCAGAGATTGAAGCCGCGAGGGAGACAACGCCCGCTGGCATTGCCTCACGACGCCCGGGAGCCCTGGGGAGGTGCACTGCCAAGAGAGCAGGGGCCCTGGGGGGTGGGACCACCCATAAAAAGCGTGGGAGCTGGGCCGCTCCACTTGACTCCATGCTTGGCGGCGCGCACCACAAGGTGCGGGGGGCGGGCATCTAAGAATGCATGGGGAGCTCCTCGGAAGGGCTCGGAGGCTTCCAAATAGCCCCACCCCCTGCTTGCTCGAAAGACCCCCACCCGCCCTCCCAAAGTCCACCCTCCCCTCCCTTGTGCTCGCCGACGACGTGAGGCGGTGGTGGTACGCAGAAAGTTCACAAGTGAAGCAGAGTCACGTGACAATTCACGCATCACGGCGGCGACGATAATGAAGGAGGAGTATGCAAGGGCTATTTCTCTAGAGCGTTACTTTTGCAATGCCGCTTCCATCGTCGAATCGCCTGGCAAATAATTCCCTTGTTTATTCAACCATGCACTACGCTGTGAAGCAGCATCGCTCTCTTGACCGTTGAACCTGGTTCTGCGCCACATCCAAATGAAAGGCTTACGCATGGGAAGCAAGCCAGGCCTGTGCCAAGATAGTACTCATGCAACGACGTCGATCTACTATTCCAAGATCCGGGTCGCAGACGTAACTTGACACAGCAGCGGCGTTCTTGCAGGCGGGCCCTGCTGCGTAACGACAGAACCCGGGAAAAGCAGGGAGGGCGGCCAGGGGGCAAACCCGGTCCCGAGCGCCGACGCACTGCTGCCAGGAGTTCTTGGGATTCGTGGGCAGGAGCCATTTGCATTTGTTTCACCGTCTTCTGTTTCGAGGAAAACGATGGAGGAGGAGGAGGAGGAGGAAGAGGACGAGAGTGGAGCGCAGACGTAGAACTTCACACGACTTCCATGTGCAAGAATCAGATATCGTCATGACTGGGCCGTTCAGGAGATGCAAACGAACCGCCCGTAACCGTGAAAGGTCATTCGCCCCCTATATAAGTGATCATTTTCGGCGACCTTATTGACGGACTGGGGCCCCCCTTCAACCGCGGCACCTGTCACACAACAATGACGACGAAAAGGCGAAATATGAGATTCTGAGCATCGACTGATATTGCATCTTCAAATCCCTCTATCGCGCAGGATAGCCCAGGGGGCATTCTTCCCTGGGAGACAAATTCACCAAACATTATAAAGCCCGCCCAACAGTAGAGAGAACGTAATCTCCGCCGCGACGGCGACGACGCTTACGACTACGACTAAAATTGCAACTACGATTACAACTACAACCACGACGACAATTACGACTACAATCGAGACTACAATCATATCTACAACCACAACCACTGATTCCGATTGCAATCCTCAGGGGAAGATGCTCGCAACGTCTGTCGATCTCGCTCGGCTGAGGGTGTGGCACCACCTAACTGGTCCCCAACCAGAGCTTGCCTCTGTAGGGATCCTAGGGATTCATCTGGTCAGGTTACCGTGGCCGCCGATTTTCGCTGCACGCCCGGGTGCCCGGGTGCCCGGGGGTGGGGGTGAGGTTGGCTGCCGATTTTCGCTGCACGCCCGGGTGCCCGGGGGATGCCCGGGGGTGCCCATGCCCGGGGGTGCCCCCGTGCCCGGGTGCCTGGGTGCCCGGACGTGCCCGGGGGCGCCCCACACTATCATGCGTGGCCTGCCGATATAAAACTATAAGGCTCTATTGTACATTTTAAACATGCTATCCAACATATAATATGAATTTAGGAAAAAAATAAAACATAATTAAGAAATAAACGAAAATGCTACAACATAGTGGAACTCGTGACAATAATGAAAACATTGATAAAACAATTGGAAATGGCCGTCTGCGCAAAATTCCGGAGAACGAAGTCCCTCCTCCTCCTCCTCCTTTTCCTCCCCCCTCTCCCTCCTCCCCCTCAGCGGGCCAGCCGTTTTGTTTGCAGTTTTGGAACGTAGTTCAAACAGCTGTATTTGTTGTTTGCAGTTTTCTGTTTGCGGGCCAACTGCTTTTGATTGCAGCTTTCTATTTGTTTGCAGCCATGCAGGTGCTTCAACGGTGCGACCGCTTCACACGTTCGTGCTTCAGCCGCGGGGCCGCTTAGCACGTCCTCTCCGCGCGCAGCCACTTGAGCGGTTTCCCGTGGCGAGTGGCTGCGTCGGAAGCTCACCCGCGCGCGCCGCGTCGTCCAGGATGCGCGCGGTTAGCAAGCGTCCTGCAGCGAACGTGACGCTGCATTCGGACGATGAAGGTGGCGGTGGCGAGCCTCTGTTTCATGCCCTAGCCATGCCATCTCTCCGTTCAGGCGCAGCGGCATGACCGCCTTGCAGCGGCATGACCGCGTTGCTGACCCCTGCAGGTGATACTACTGATCCAGGAGACGCAGCAGCTGTCATCGCCAACGCGGCGATGACAACCTTGCCCGCGGAGGGCCCAGGCGTCAGCCCAGCCCCCATGCAAGCAGCGGCAGCGCAGAACGTGCTTCAGGCGCTCTTCATACGCCAAAGCAGCACGGCTGCATTGGCAGCCTGCAGGAGGCGCTTGCCGAGGAGCCCACGCAGCCTGCGGGAGGCGCCAATGCCGACAGCCACCAGCCGGCAGAGGAGGCCGACGGCGAGCCCGTCGACCAGCGCGAGATCCAGCCCGACGGCCCCCCGACGCCCGCCCACCCTGACGGCCCAGCCGAGCCCGACGGCCCCCCCGTGGTGGTTCAGACCTCATACTCCGAAGTCCAAGTATGGCGCTCCTGAGCCAGCAAAAACACATTTTAGCCCACCAAGCTGAACGGAATTACATTCCTCCCCTGCGAGGGGGCCCCTGTCATCGAAGACGGCGCGGTAATTGGCGACATGCTCCTTGACCTCCTCCGGCTCAGGGGTTGGATGGACCCTTTCCACGTCTGCTTGATGACGGTCTCGAACTCTGCTCCGCCCAGCTTGGCCTGTGGGGCCGTGGCGTGCGAAGACGCCGCCGCTTGGGCAGCCTGGGCCGCCGTCGCTGCGGTTTGCGCGACAGCGAGGGCATCCGAGAGGCTCTTCTCGGCGGCGGCCTGCTGCTGCTTGCGGGCCTGGTCGAACTCCTGCTCCTGCTCCTTCATGGGCTTAACGATGCCACAGGCTAGCTGCGTAGCACGATGGGCGACTTGTATCGTCTTGACCTGGACAGGGGGGTATGATGACGTTATCCCCGTCCACCCGGGCCTCGTGCTCGTCTGTCATGGCGACCAGCAGGCGCACGTGCTCGGTGCCGTCGGCCCCCAGCTTCCTCAAGAAGGCGTCGAACGACGCAGATGCTACACCTGACCAGCGCCCCGCGTCACTGATGGTATTGATAGCCATGAGTTCCTCGGGAGTAGGTTCCATTCCTCCCCACTCACGACGAATGCTCCCTCACTGAGGGCCGTATGTTTCAGAACGAGCATTCGGTAGTCGAAGAACTTCCACGCTGTAACCGCTCCTCGAGCCAAAATGGCTACGCGATTGGAAGATCCCTGCGAATGACCCGGAGTCGAAACTGTGTATCCCTCCGGGTGGGACTCGATGTCACAATTCTCACCAACCACCGCACTACTTCGGTCGTAAAATCTGAAACACGCTCGAAAGCCACCAGACGCCACACGAATTTGTTGGCAACACACAGACATCACACGGCTCTTTTGACAACTAACCGTCACACGTTTTCATGGCACACTACTTACGACAACCAAGGGTGAAATGAGGACAGACTGCATTCATTCGGAGGTGGGCCCTGGATTTTTGGATCGGCCCTTGACCCCACTCCCTGGCGCGCGGAGCGTGCCAGGAGCGGCGCGGACTGCGCCACTAGGTGGGTCCAGCGCAAATCCACGAAATCCGCGCAGACCTCGGAACGTTTATGTTCATGTGGTTCCCCCTCGAGAGGATGAGCAGGATGAGGAGGAAAAGAGGACCATGCGAAAACAGGTCAGCACTGTCGAGCTCTTGCCAGAGCCAGTCCGGCCCACGATGCCCACCTTCATCCCGGCGCGCACGTCCAGGGACACCCCCTTGAGTGCCAGGGGCAGGCCCTCCTGGAAAGGGACGGGGGGATGGACAATGGAGAGGAAGGGGGAGGAGGGGGACAAGCTAGGTGCGCTCGCGTCATATCTGACGTGCTACCCCTCCCTCCCATCCCTTACCATGGCGTAGATCTCCTCTTTATTCGCACAATCGGATGTCGTAGCCTGGTATAGCATTACATGGCATGGCATAGTACGGTGTTGAAGATCAACGCGTAGCATGACACAGCATGGCGTGGCGACGCCCCACAATGTGGGGGGTCTGCGGCCCAAAGAATCAACGAATCGACACCGAATGTGGAATCACGTCCGATGTTTGTTCGGGGAGCCATTCTTCAGATGTTGGACCTATATTTGGAAGGACCGAAAACCATGCCGTGGCATGGCACTGCAAACAAGTGGCACGTGTGCCATGGCTCTTGCACAAAAAGGAAGGGGGGGGAGGAGGAGGTGGAGGAGGAGGGGGGAAGAGGGGGCAAGACATCGCCCCTCGGGACCCAACAACGGGGCCCAAATCCCAGGTGACGAAGGGGGGGAGGTGGTGCGCGTCGCGGCACCGAATAGAGTGCTCGGAGCGGAGGGGGCACGGGGCGGAGGTCCCACTGGGGCGCTGGGGGCGCGGAGAGGAGGGGGCGGGAGGTGGTGTGCGTCACAACGCGGGATAAGATGGTCGGGGCGGAGGGGGCACTGGGCGGGGCTTGGGGCAGAGGGCCACGGGGCGGCGGTCCAACTGGGGCGCTGGGGACGGGGGGGGAGGGGGGGGAAGTGGTGTGCGTCGCGACGCGGAATAAAATTATCGGGGCGGAGGGGGCACGGGGCGGAGCCCCCACTGGTGCGCTGGGGATGCGGGGAGGGAGGTGGGGGAGGTGGTGTGCGTCGCGACGCGGAATAAAGCCTTCGTGGCGGAGGGGGCAGTGGGCGGGGCTCCCACTGGGGCGCTGGAGGGGGCTCGGGGCAAAGAGCCACGGCGCGGGGGCGCTGGGGATGCGGGGGGGGGCGACGCGGAATACAGCGTTCGTGGCAGAGGGGGCAGTGGGCGGGGCTCCCGCTGGGGCGCTGGAGGGGGCCCAGGGCAGAGAGCCACGGCGCGGGGGCGCTGGGGGACGCGGGGGGGGGACGTGGGGACGCTGGGGACGCGGGGGGGGAATACAGCGTTTGTGGCGGAGGGGGCAGTGGGCGGGGCCCCCGCTGGGGCGCTGGGGGCGCGGGGGGGCTCGGGGCAGAGAGCCGCGGCGCGGGGGTCCCACTCTGGCGCTGGGGACGCGGGCGGGGGAGTGCGACGCGGAATACAGCGTTCGTGGCGGAGGGAGCAGTGGGCGGAGCTCCCCCTGGGGCGCTGGGGACGCGGGGGGGCTCGGGGCAGAGAGCCACGGCGGGGGCATCCCACTCTGGCGCTGGGGACGCGGGGTGTGTGCGACGCGGAATAAAATATTCGGAGCTCTAGACACCCTGTGCAAGAGAATTTTGACGCCAACGCTGCAGCGGGAGCACGATTCAGAACGAGCGGAAGCGCGGAAATGAGGCCAGCGCTGCAGCGGGAGCACGATCCGGAACGAGCGTCAGCCCGAACATGAGGCCAGCGCTTCAGCGAGAGTAGCATTTTGAAAAAGCAAGCGCGGAAGCGCGGAAATGAGGACGCGTAGCCTGACAGAGCATGGCGTGGCGACGCCCCAGTGGGGGGGACTTCTGCGGCCCGAAAAATCAACGAATCGACACCGAATGTGGAATGACTTCCGATGTTTGTTCGGGGAGCCATTCTTTAGATTTTGGACCTATATTTGGAAGGACCGAAAACCATGCCGTGGCATGGCGCTGGAAATAATGACGCCAACGCTGCAGCGGGCACACGATTCGGAACGAGCGGCAGCCCGAAAATGAGGCCAGCGTTTCAGCGAAAGCAGTATTTTGAAACAAACCAAAGCGAAAACCCAACTCCTGGGAATCCCGTATAAACAAAAACCTGTGCGCGGAGGGGGGGCGCGAACAATCCCCAGACGCCACCAGGGGAGAGATGAGAGTAGTATTCATATTGTTTTATTGCTCAGGGCGATGGGCAGAAGGAGGAACATGGGGGAAGGAGGGAGGAAGGAGGGAGAGGAGGGGGGGAGGGCGGGCGGAGGGGAGGAGAGGGAAGAGGGGCGGAGAGGGAGGGGGAGGAATGGGAGGAGGAGGGGGGGAGGAGGAGGAAGGAGACGAAGAGCAGCATCAGTTGGAAATGGGGCCCATGGGGAGCAGGGGGAAGAGAGGACAAGGCAGGAGGGGGAAGGAGGAAGAGGAGGGGGGAACGAGGAGAGGGGAAGAGGAGGACCCATAGCAACGCCGTTGTGCTTGTTTTGTTGTTTCGCAACGCGGACCCTGAAAGATCCCGATCCCGACCCCTTCTCCAGGACCGGCGTTTCGTCCCGGGATCTTCTTTGACGCCCCCCGGGCCTGGTGACGGCCCCCAGAGACTGAAGCTGCAGCGTGAGGGGGCGAACGAGGAGGAGGAGGAGGAGGAGGAGGAGGAGGAGGAGGAGGAGGAGGAGGAGGAGGAGGAGGAGGAGGGGAGGAGGAGGAGGAGGAGGAGGAGGCAGAAGAGGAGAAGCGGCAGGGGGACAAGCAGGAGGATCAGGAGAGGAGGGAGGGAGATGAGGACACGGAGGAGGGAGGAAGAGGAGGGGGGAAGGAGGAGGGGCGAGGAGGAGGAAGGGAAGCATCAGGGGGAAGGAGCAGCAGGGGCAGAAACGACAGGGGGGGAAGCAGGATGGGGACGACCTGGTAGCGCATCTCCACGTTCTCCAGCCGCAGGGTCCCCTCCGCTGGCCACGCGTCGGGCAGCGGCTCGAAGGCCTGCTGGTGGCTGTGCTCCGTCGGCAAGTCCTTTCAATTGGGGGGGGGGCGACGACGCGGTCTCCTTCCGATGGCATGGCGAAAACTCCACCGCCTCTCGTTCCGAATAACATTGCGACGAGATGTTGTTTTGACGTTTCCGGCCTCCGGTGTCCCTTACCACGCTCAGGACCGTCAAAACAAAGATCCGGGATGTGCAACCAGTCCCGGGTGACGGGGAAGGTGTCTAGATCTCAAGGGGTTCGACGCGGAAAATCACGACGTCGGGAGGGGGGCAGTGGGGGGGAGGTGGTGGGGCAGGTGGAGGAGAGAAACCAAAACACGACTGTGGGCCCGCAACTCTCGTCTTCTCCCTTGAGAGCGGTAGCGGACAGCGGCAGCAGTAGGGAATTGATTCGGCCTGGGCAGCAGCGGGCGTCTCGGGGGCAGATGGGGCGAGTGTGTCAAATGAGGGTTTTTTTGGTTAAACCCGAAAAGCGTACAAACCGACAGAGTGTACCCGTCGGGCGACATTGTAATGTCATGTGGATTGGGCGGTGCCCAGCGGGCCAAGGTGGAAGAGAGAGGGGGAAGGGGAGGATGAGGAGAGGGAGGAAGGATAGAATGAGGACCATAATGAACCCAAGATGTACCAACGATGCTGCAACTCTGCCCCCCCGTCCCGAGTCCCCCTCTCACCAAGTCCCCGCCGGCAGTTGTTGGTTCACTGCACAAGGCGCTGCCCGCTTGAAAGACGAGCGCCCAACTGTCCCGAAAGTCAGGCGGGAGCTGCGTGTTGAAAGACACTGCCATCCGTCCTTCGGGCTGCGAGGAATGCGGCGAGGTGGGGCCACAGCATGCAGGGAACTGCTCAACGACACCCCCCGCATTTCGAAGAACCCTCCCTTCGCTGGTGAGGCTGCTGCCCCACATCAGTCTCCTGGCCACAGACTCCAGCGAGCTTCCGGCGAAAGCACCATGTTGAAAAAGGAGCCCGCGCCTGCCCACGTTTATAGCGGTGGCACCACTCGATTCCCCAACCCTCGCTTGCACGTAGGGGCCTCACTTCGGCATGCACAAAGACTTGGAGGGCTTTCGCCCGGTGCCCGGGTCGGCGGCCGCCCGTGGGCGCCCCTCGTGGGGCGCCTCGAGCGGCGGCCGGGCGCGCCGAGGCCTCGCCCGGTGCCCGCCCGTGGGCGCCTCGTGCGCTGCCTGGGCGTGCAGCGGCTCTCCCCCGTGCAGCGACCTCTCGACGAAGAATGGAGGCGTTCAGGAAAGGAGGGGGGCCCTGGGTCATGACCCGATGGGGGCCACGCGGACGCACCCCTATCGAGGAGGGACCCCCCCCCCCATCGCGTCCAGGGTTGGGCCCAACATATTTGGTCCACTCGAGAGGCCCCCAAAGCCTGGGACAGGGGTGGCCGCCCGTGCGCGGGCCCCGTGCGCGGGGGCGGTCGTGCCGGGAGTGTGGCTCGGTGCCCGCTCGCGGCCGGCCGTGGGCGCCTCACGGCCGCTGCGGCGGCAGCAGAGCCTGCAGTGCGTATAGTCTACCGCACGGGGTGGAGCCACGCAGCTTGCACCACATCGCTTGCATAGCATGACCTGCACCACGCAAACTGCACCGCACAGCTTGCACCACGCATGCTGCGCGCGTGCACCACGCAGCGTGCGCCACGTAAACTGCACCACGCAGCTTGGACCACACTGCTTGCACCACCGCTTAGCTTGCAAATGGAAAAACACATGTGATAATTTACTGTTTGGGGTCCACGCTGGCAGCAGTACTTGCGGTAACACAAGAAGTTTGGCGACGTATCAGGCGAGATGATACTTTCCCAGGCAATGGTTGCGCTCAGGGTATCTTGCTTACCTGGCCACGCACTGGGCTGGTGTGCAATCCTGGCCGGCTTGTGGCCACTCGTCGCCACCCCGTCGCCGCCCCCCGTCTGGGCTTGTGTGCCGGTCTGGCCGGTTTGTGGCCGCCCGTCGCCGCCGCCCGTCGCCACCAAATGTTGGTCGCAGCTTTGACTAAGGGAACCGATGCAAAACACATATGATTCTGACCCAATGTCCATCGTACCTGTGAACTCATCCTGTCCCAGGCAAGCCAGTATCGCCCCCCCGCCATCCTCTGCAAAAAGCTATGCGCGCGCACTCGTTTATCAAACATAAAAAATTGTAAAGAATCCTTTGCTAAAGAATATGACGAAGTGCACACGCGCGCGTCGTCGCGCGCGCATGCCGCAACCCTTCAAAGAAACTATGGTTTCGTAGGGATTTCAAAACCGAATGTCCAAACAACAAAAAAAACACGTAGGGTTTCCGCAACACTGATTTTTTGTTATACAAAAAGCGAGAGCGTTCTTGTGAATTCTCGGGGCAACCATAAGTTTTCAATAATTCCAAAACATGCTACCAAACGGGTTTCTTCGCGCGCGCACGTCGAAATCGTTCGTTCGCCCTTGCGCGCGTGCCGTCGCGAGAACCCTCTGCCAAAATCGGCACGCAGTGCACGCGCGCGTCGTCGCGTGCGCATGCCCGAATCCTTCAAAAACTCTCGATTCTGGAAGGATTCCAAGATCGACTGCCAAATAAACAAATATAACACAACACAAGGTTTCGCAACACGGATTGTCGACACAAGCGTGCGCGCGGTTGCGAATTCTTCACGAAGCCACGAATTTGTTGTTCAAAATGCTCATACCATGCTGCCAAACGGGCTTCGCGCGCGCATGTCCAAATCGTTCGGACGCCCTTGCGCGCGTGCTGTGCTGGGGTGGCACGACCCGTTTCAAATAATACCATGCGAGCCATTCTCGCGCGTCCGCCGCGCGCGCATTTCGAATTCGTACCAAAACGTTCACCACCGACGCGAAGGCGCCGTCATCGTCGTCGGCGTGAGCAGCATCGGCGCCGTCACTGGCTGCCCCGTCGTCGCGGTCAACATCGTCACCAGTATCGCTACTATCATCATCGTGTCTACCGTTGTCGACGTTGCCATGATACCGCGCCCGCCCAAGTTGCCGATTCGCAGAGAAATGCTCGCTGGGGTGTGCCGAGCGGTCAGCGCCACCACGTTCGCGTCGGTCGCGCCAAAACTAGCTGACCGCTGCGCGCGCGAGCATGCGCGGGGTAGCGCGGCGGGAGAGATGCACCAACAAACACACAGCACTCATCGCAATCGATCCCGCTTGGGTTTTGCAAACCACGTGACGGGCGGGTGGGTGGGATGATTGCGCTAGCAGTGGAGTTGACAACTTCCAGGTCGGCAGGCGAATTGCACCAGATAAACTGGACCGCATAGATTGCACCACGTAGCTTGCACCACGTGGACAGCACCACAAAAACTGCACCACGCAGATAACACCACATGGATTGCATGACGCCTTTGCGCCACATGGGGACGCACCAAGTATCTCCAACCGTTTAGATTGCAGCACGTTGTTTACACCACGCGTATGGCACTACATAGATTGCACGCCATAGCGCGCACCGTGTGGATTGAACCACGCGACTTGCACCATATCATTTGCTCCCCGTAGCTTTCACCGCATAAGCGGCCGAACAGATATTGCAACAGAAAACGCGCACCACACATGTGTATAATATGTATGAGCAGATTATATAATATGTAAAGGAAACAGATTATACCACCCACCCGAGGGCGGAGTTAACGGTACCCCTTGGGGATGCGCACTTTACATCAGTATCTGCCCTGCCCCATCGTCAACTCTATATATGAAACGATTGTATCCCATCCCATGTGTTGTCGAACCCCCCTCTCCCCAGCACAAGCACTATGCACCCACACTCGTTGACAAAAAAACCCATTGTCAATCATCCCATTACCAAACGGGGCGAATTGCACACGAGCGCGTCATCGCGCGCGCATGCTCCAATCTTTCGAAATACGCAGGTCCCGCAAGAATTTCTACATCGAGTGCCCCGGTTTTTTTCATCAGAAACGCATGGTTTCGCAAAGACTTCTCAGACTCTTTGCAAAGACTTCTCGATGCTGTACTATACACCCTTCCAGGCCCAAGTCTCCTTCGCAAACCTCACTACAGGTCTCCTTTCCTAGAGGCCTCCTAGATGGGGTCGGAGTAGATGGGGTCGGAGGATCTCGCCGCATCGCCGATACATCGGCGATGCATCGTCGATGCATCGGCGATGCATCGGCGATGCAACTGCGATGCATCGTCGACGTCGGCGATGCATCGGCGACGTCGACGTGAAGGAAATCGGGCTCCGTATCGAGCCGCATCGCCGATGCATCGGCGATGCGGCCCGATCCTCCGACCCCATCTGCCCCGACCCCAGCTGGGAGGCCTAAATTTCCACTGCGGGAAGAGACCGAATGACGGGCCGCCTGCGAACTACAGGAAGAACAAAGAAGACTTCAGGATCTGCCCTCAATCCGTGAAAACTTTGCACACTCTCAGAAGGTCTGGTCGTAAAACATGCGAAATCCTCGCGCGACCCCCTCATTTGGGACAAGATTCGTCCTCCATCCGTGCTGCCGAATTGTCTACACACGAGCCTTGCACTGAACTGGGCCTGGTTGACGGCCCGGGCCTGGTTGTCGGTGAGGCCGGCCGGTGGCCGCCCGCCGCCGCCGCCCTCGGTCACGATTTTGACAGTGCAAGGCGCGCACGTCGCATTGCATCGGGTTGCTTCGTGCTCTGCGTTGCGTTGCACTGCTCCGCACTGCTTTGCAATGTGTTGCGTTGCGTTGCGTTGCTTTGCGCCACATTGTTTGCACAACCTAGAGTGCCCCTTGCAAGAAAACGCTGCTTGGGGTCCACGCGGGCTCACGTTTCTTGAAGAACGTGGTAGACTGTTGGAGCTTCTGGGCGCTAAGGCGCAAGGCAGCCTCAGGCGAAACGCCTGGTCTGGCCTTCGTACACGTCCAGTGGTGCGACATGAGGGCGTTACTTATGAATAGTGGGGGTAGAGAGAGGAGGGAGCCAGTAGGGAGCATGGAGACTGGAAGGGGCGGACGGAGAGGAGGGACAAACAAGAGAAATGAGGCAGGCGAGGAAGAAAACGGAGGGATGAGGGAGGACAGAGGGGAAATGAGGAAAATGGGGGAGGGAGGAGGAGGGAGAGGGCGAGGGAGAAGGGTGGATGGAGAAGGGTGGAGATACGGCAGAAAGGGGGGGAGGAGAGAGGGGTGGGGAGGAGGAATGTGTCGTGTCCTTCCACTCCGCCAAGCGCTGACAGCGCCCTACCATGGTTTCCATCTTCGCCGTCATGAAGATCGCAGAGGGCGCCATGGCCGCGAGCGTCGTGGTGAAGGTCAGGCACACCGCCGCACTCCCCGCGTTCACGAACCCAGAGAAAAACGTCTCGTATTGTGCGAGCGCCAGAAGCATGGCACTTGTGATGCCGATGAAGAAGCTGACGCCGAGGGCCGTCACCGTGACCTGCAGACATCGGTCGAGGCAGAACGACCAATACGTAGTGAGGATGAATTCTGTCTGCATCCTGTAAAAGCGGTGAAGGAATATGTCGACTCTGTTGTAGACTTGGATGGAATCCAAGGAGCAGAGGAAGCCAGACTGGGATGCCAGCAGAGGTGTCATGGCAAGCATCTGCAGCCGCTGCAGCTCGAGGGTGATGCAGCCATAGTACTGGAAGATCAGCTTAGAGACGTACAGCAAGGAAAGCGAGCAAACCAGCACGGGAGGCGCGGTGATGCCAGCCGTCACGACCACCATCAGCACGGTGCCGAAGGACCTGCTCCACATCCCCGCCAGTTGTGGCAAGAACATGTCAAGAGACATCACGTCGCCGCCGAAGCGGTTCAAGATACGCCCTACGGGCGTCGTGTCGAACCACAGCATGGACTGGCGCAGCGTGGTCGCCAACATGGCACGGTGCAGCTCGCGGGAGGACTTGTGGAAGAACTCCACCCGAAGCATGGCGTTGATGCCGGACAAGACGGCGATCCAGACGGCTGAGCCCACGTAGATTGCGGTGTAGAACGTGTCGTTCACTTGGGTTCCAGGTGCGGCAGTGACCGTGGCGTTGGTCCACAGAGCAAGGCACAGGCTCACCACGTAGGCGCTCGCGGGCATGAGGATCAGAGAGCTGCCGATCCAGGCGACGCCCAGGAACGTAGAGTTGGCTGCCTTGGAGATGACCATGAAGTCATCGATGCCGATGCGGCCTCCAGACTTGTACTCCCGCTGCATCATCTCGCCCTCCGGCCCCTCGAGGTCCTCCTCTGGAGGCGGCGGCTTGAAGCTGGTCTCGGACTCCTCCTCCTGGGGCTTCTCGGAGATCTCGTACAGGCCCTCGTTCTGTCCGCACACGGACTCCAGCAGCACAGCGAAAGGCCCAGGGGGCTTCTTCTCGTAGAGCTCCTGGTAGGTGCCCGACTCCGTCAAGGCGCCGTCCTCCAGGACGTAGATCCTGTTGACGTCGGTGCAGAACTGCAGCTGATTAGTGAAGAAGACACGGGTGCGGTCTGAGAGGAACTTCATGAAGCAAGCCTCGAAGACCTCTTTGCCCACGTGCGCATCCATCGCCGACAGCGGGTCGTCGAAAATGATCACGTCGGCCCTGCTGTACGCCGCACGGGCGATCGCTATCCTCTGCTTCTGGCCCCCAGAGATCGTGATGCCACGCTCGCCGATCTCGGTCCGATCCCCAGCTTTGAACTGCTTCATGTCTGACCTGAGGGAGCAGACGTTGAGGACCTGATTGTAGCGCTCCCAGTCCATCTCGGAGCCGAACAGGATGTTCTCCTGGATCGTCGCGTTCAAGATCTGCGGCAACTGCGTCACGTACGCCGTGTGCCCGCTCACGTGCACGTCGCCCCTAGTGTTGGTGACGAGGCCGGCGAGGCCGCCAGCCCAGGTGGACTTCCCCGAGCCAACCCGGCCGCACACCGCGATCATCTCGCCAGGGCTGACCTGGAGCGACACGCCGCGCAGGGTGGGCGGAGCCAGCTCCAGCCGCTTGACCAGCGCAGTGGGCCCCTTGGCCTTGTCCTTGCCCTTGCCGCCGCTCTTGCTCTTGCTCTTCTCTTTGCCCTTGGCCTCGCCGTCCATGCCCTTGCCCTTGCCGTCCTTGTCCTTCTCCTTGTCCTTGCCCTCTTTGCCCTTGCCTTCGAAATCTTTGTCTTTGTCCTTGTCCTTCTCCTTGTTCTTGTCTTTGCCCTTGTCTTTTCCCTGCTCCTTGCCCTTGGCACTGCCTTTCTTGCCCTTCTCGGGGTTCTCGAAGAACACGTTCCCTTCGCTCGCAACGGCCTTCTCGGGCCAGCTGAAATCGGCGTCGATGCACGAAACGGTGCCCGTTGGGAGGCCACCGTCATTCCCAACCACGCGGTCTTCGGGCATGATCAGCAGACGCTTCACGCGGGACATGGAGACGCCGAGTTCCCGAACCATTCGCATCATCGTCGGGATGAACGATATGCCGAGCTGCATGAAGTTGAACATCCTGCAGTACTGGTGCGAACACAACATGTCGCCGCGCTGTTTGTTCCCGACGCGCCCAAGAAGATGACGCCGACACCATGGCAAGCCCACGGCAAGCCCTGCGCCCCGCGCCCAAGCAGACGACGCCGGCGCCGCGGCAAACCCTACGGCAAGCCCGCCGCGCTCGAGGCGGCGCTTGCCCTGGTGGTCGCGGCGCCCTCCTCAAGATGAACAGCAGGAGCTCGACCACATGAAACCTTCCAGAAGAAAACCGACCCTGACACCCCAGGACGTTCATTGATTGTTGGTGTGGGAACGTTACGTTTTCCATACCAAAAACGTCAAAGTCCAAGAAACCCAGGGCACCCTGGAAGACAGCAGGGTGTATCTTGGCATGGGTTTCCACTGTTAGGCCGCGCGTCCGAACGAACGGCGCTGCCACACGTGAGCGTCTTCGTAGACTTGTGGATGCCATGACAATGGACACTCTTACAGTCCTATCATTGACTTAAAAAAGTGTTTCATTGACGTGTAAAACATGTTTCAAACATGCTTTTGACAATATGTTAAACATGTTTGAAACATCTTTTATACATATGGAAACTATTTGGCAGCACGCTTCCTCTCCATGAACCGACTTCCACAATCGTAGACCCTCTTGCACGTCTCACAGGGGCCAGCGCTGGACGCACCGCCCTGCGCCCCTGTGCGCGCCGGGGGGCGTCGCTGGAGGCGCCGCCCGGGAGTCTTGAGAGGGGAGGTCCCTCGCCTCCTAAAGGCCTGAAAATACAACCATGACAACGCACGGCGAGGGCTTCGCGCTTCGCCCTCCGCGAAACGCGATTATCTTCGCGCTTGCGCGCCGCCCCCCCCCCCCCCCCCCGGAACATGATGAGGGACTCGCGCCTCGCTCTGTAATCGCCCAGACCGACAGACACAGACACAGACATCATAACTAAAGTTCTGCCACAGACATCACCGCCACCCACATCATTTAAGGAATCCTCCAGGGTCTGACGTCTCCTTGGCACAACATTCCTTGACCATCGCATGTTTTAGACATCTTGCAAGGTTTCACTGGACGAGAGCCGATACTATTTGTACTGAAGCCGTGTGGTTCAAGAAATGGAACGCAAAGGATTCGCCATTCCACATGGTAGCGGAGCCTGTTTGTGTTCACGGCCAGGCTCCATCATTCTCGCGGATGCAATGGCGTCGGCAGAGGAGGTTCTGCGACGGGTCACGGCCATGGAAGAAGTAGTGGTCCAACAGAAAGATCAGATCGCTCGACCGGAGCACCAGCTACGGGAAACGAATGCCAGAGCTGACCGAGGAGCGGCCCAACAGGAGGACTACAGAGCTTTTCACAGACCAGAATCTCTAGTCGACACGAAGCTGCTCGGGTAGCCAGGCAAGTTCTCAGGAGAGTTCGACGAGAATGCGAAATACAAAGACGGATTCACGTGGGACAACTGGAGCTTTGTGCTGGCAGCCTACTGCATGGCGGTGGACCGGCACATGGCAGAGCTGATGAGGGACGCGGCGAAGGTGGACGCTGAGGCCTGCGCGCATGAAGATCTAGACGAAGAAGCCCAGAGGGTCCACACCAACTTGTAATACATACTGGTGCTGACTTGCAAGGGCAAGGCGCAGGGCATCATGAAGAGTGTTCCCTCTGGCGAAAGACTGGGAGCATGGCGTTTACTGTGCGTGGAATTCGAGCCAACGGTGCCGTCGAGGTTCTCAGGGATGCTAAACTCGATATTGTATCAACACGCGCAAAGGAAATATCCGATCAAGGGCATTGTGTCGTGGGAGACGCTCGTGCAGCGCTAACACGGTTGGTTCCAAGCAAGCTTCGGGAGCATCTGATGCTGAACGCGACGCGGTTCACGACCTACGTGCTGGTTCGGGCCGAGGTGTTGAACTACCTGCGGTTAAAGCAGGCGGCGATGGCTCTCAGTGGACCTGCTCCCATGGACCTAGATGCGCTGACGTCCGGCAAGCACGGCAAGGACGGCAAACACAAGCTCAGCAAGGACAAGGGCAAAGGCAGGGGCTACGACAACCACTCGACGAGCGCGCCGTGCAAGTACTGCGGGAAGAAAATGCACAAGCTAATGCAGTGCAGGAAGGCGACACAGGACATGAAAGACGGTGCGATCACGAAAGAGGAGCTTCGAAAGATCAGCAAAGGCAAGGGCAAGGGCGGAAAGGGCAAGCAGGACAAGCCGAAGACCACCCCCGTTTCCGACAAGCCGAAGGATCAAGACATGAAGTACTTAGGGTACGACTACGACGCCGAGGAGAGCTACGTCTTCGCCCTGGAAGAGGACGAGCATGAGGAGTCAGATGGGATAACGGATCAGAGGACGAACAACTTCCAGATGACACGCAAGAGCCCAACTACGTTGACGACGAGAATGACGAGAACGACCTGATTCATATAAGATATTACGAAGAAGATGATGACGATAAGATCGAGGTGATAGTCGGTTCACGCGCAGCTAGGAGTGTTTGCCAACCAGATTTCGCACCACGAATACCACGAGAAGAAGCGGACGCACCACCACTGCGACAAGCAGACGGAACGAAGATATACGCGGATGGCTGCAAGACGGTCAGGATGCAGGTGGCAGGTGCACGACGACCCATTCGAGGACGATTCGATGTACGAGATGTTCGCAAGACGATCACTGCGGTCAGCGACATGACCAAGGGATCCCATGGAGCTTGGTTCGACGAGGATGGCGGCGCGGTGGTTAACCCAGAGGTGAGCAACGGGCTGGTGTGCCGCACTCGCTGTCTGCAGCAGTGCGCCGCTAGCCGCAACGACGTGGAGGGCGTGGAGAAGGTCGACGTGGAGGCCTCCAGCGACCCCCGGTGGAAGAAATTATCGGAGAGCCTGCCGGCCGCCGAGAAGCAGGCTCTGAACATCTTCTGGTGTGGAGCCATACGCAGCCAGACCCGCATCAGCCAGAACACCGGGTGTGCGCTGTGCTGCGCGCTCCACCCGAATGCCTCGCACCTATTGAGCCAATGCAAGTGGATAAACGAAAAACGCCGGCTCCTCAGCCGGCTGCGCCGCCTCCAGCCTACGTGGTGGACTCGTCAGCCGCGAGTTACATCCGAAAGCGGATGGATCACAACCACTGCACATCGTGATCATCTTCGTCGAGTTGAAATGCAGATTGCCAGTTGTCGTATGGGTATACTCATTTGTTTGGGCCCGTTGAAGGCGCTGCTCGACTGAGAGCCCCACTTCCTGAGCGAAAAGGACTCCTCCATCGAGGCTGTCATCCTGTCGCTCTTGCAGCTTGTGGAGGTGAGCAACAGGATCAAGAAGATGATCGAAGAAGAGGCTCGCCACAACCCGAAGAGCAAGCCGCTGAACATAGCTAAGAGGAGAGGGATCTACAGCTTCGACGTGGACGCCAGGACGCTCTGCCCGCTAGAGGGGGTCGAAGGAGAAGGACCTGCAGTTGAACATCCAGAGCCAGAGGAGAGTGAGGAGCCTCGGATCCCGAAGGCCAAGAAGGAAAGGTACAGGCCGACCGCGGAGGAGATCGCCATTCACGAGAGGACGCACATGCCGTATCGCGACTGGTGCAAATGGTGTCTATGAGGTCGAGGCATGGAGGAAAGCCACAAGAAGACGAACCCAGAGGAGGCGCCGACGATACCAGTCACCAATATGGACTACTGCTTCGTGAACGCCGAGCTCGAGTCGGAGATGGTCAACATCCTGGCGATGGTTCAGAAGCCTGGGGACGCGGTGGTAGCGATTATGGTCATCCACAAAGGGCCCAGCGAGTACGTCAACTCAGCGGTGGAATTCTACATGGACGTCTGGGGCGCAGCAGACACCATCCTGAAGGGCGACCAATAGCCATCACTACAGGCAGTGGTCACGGCGGTGAAGAACAGGAGGAAGCACAGCACGCAGGTAGAGAAAGCACCTAAAGGTGTTCATCAAAATAACGGGGCGATCGAGAACGCGGTGGAGAGAGTGGAGTCACTACTACGGACTTTGCACAGCGAGTTGGAATTCAATTTGAAAGTGAAGATAGGTCCGAAGAGCTTGCTCATGCCGTGGTTGGTCAGGCACGTGGGGTTTCTCTGGCCAGGTTTGCGATCATGATGGATGGCAGGACAGCTCGGGAGAGACTGGGGCGAACGAAGTACAAATCAGAGCTGGGAAAGATCGGCGAGACGATCGATTGCAATATCCATGCGAAGGACTATTCTAAGTTGGAGCCGCGGTGCATTGAAGGTAGCTTCTTGGGAAGGCGCGACGAGAGCGACGAGGTCATCGTGGGGGCAGCGCGTGGGATCGAGCACGCCAGGACGATGAAGCTGAGGAGCGCCGAGGACAAGTACAACAAGGAGGTATACAACGCGTCCATCGGAGTGCCCTGGAATCCTAGAGGCCTGGAGGCGAAGGACCAGAACGAGGTAATCAGGAGGCGAAGGTACATCACGAAGGCGCTGGTGGAGGAACATGGGCCCACAAACGGTTGTGCAGCATGCGAAGGGAACTCGGCGATGCACAACGCGAGGTGCAGGACGGGGTTCGCGAAGATCTTTGACGAGGCCGAGCCAAAGATCGAGATGACAGTTGCAGCGGGCGAAGCTCAACCAGGAGGACGCGAAGCACAAGCAGGACAAGCAGCCGCACTGGCAGCAGCAGTACCACCACAAGCAACAACAAGACTTCAGGAACCACGGCTGGAGGAAGAAGGGCAACGAGCACCAGGCACGCAGGTTGGACATCACTTCGGCCGAGCTGAACCAATTGAGCAGGACGTGGAGATGACGGGCAACGCGATCGTCGCAGGAGGAGATGTGGCACCACTTACGCCAAGGAGGGACGACGTGATGGAGGTCGGCATCCTGATGGCAATCACCAAGGAGGAAGATCGCAACGTCTGCGAGGAGATCGAACCGATGGTCAATTACGACAAGCTGCTTGGATACGGAATCTACATGGACGCGTACACTGGGGAAGTGTTGCCGAAAGAGCTGGGCACTAACGGAAGGACCAAGGA